AAACAAACAAACAAAATAACAACAAAAACCTGTAGCTGGCTATTTCATTCATCCATTGTCTCGTAACAAGCCGCTCCAAACTGCGTGGCCTACGCCAACGGCAACCATTTATCTTGCTCACAAGTCTGCAACCTGGGCCAGGCTCAGCAGAGAGAGCTTGTCTCTGCCTCACGTGGCATCGCCTGGGGCAGCCGGATGGAGGTGGGAGATCCGCTTCCCAACGGCTGGGTCGTATTGCTGGCAAGGTGCTGCTGGTTGTGGGTTCCGCTCCACGTGGGTCTCTCCATGGGCAGCTCGAGCTTCCCCTCCACATGGGGGTTGGGTTCCCACAGCACACACCCCATGAAAAGAAAGTGCAGGCTCTCCGTTTCTTAAGGCCTGGGCCTGGAAAGCGGCACGCCGTCACTCAGCACCGCGTTCGCCTTCCTTGGAGCTTCAGGGGAGCACAGCGGTCAAAGATGCCTGTTTATTCTCTTCCACCTGCCGACCTCCACAAGAGGGGCACACTGCCCTGCTCCACTGACGTGGGGCTCCGTCATGTGACTTATCTGGGCTTCATGGTTGGCGTGTACTCCTCTGCTCTTCGACTTTGTATTTGGTCATGTCATTGGCTTTGACAATGGGCTGTTAGCAGAGGTGATGGGACTAGAGGCTTCAAATCTGCTTGGGCTGTTGGGCTTTTCTTTTCTGCCATAAGAAGAGCTCCCAAGGGTAGCTCGGTGGCAGCAGAAAAATAGGGAATTTAATGGAGCAGGGTTAAACCTAACCGTGAACTCTAGCCAAGTCATACTGAGCCTCACTTAGACCTAACGACCCCGACCCCCCCACCTCTCACCCGTCCCCCGGGGGGGGGCTGCAGACTTGAGAGAGAAAAACAAATGCTTGCTGTCGGAGCCTGCAGAGGTCTGCGGACTTTGTCGTGGAGAATTGCTGTGGCGAGAGCGGACTGAAACAGCGACCAGTGTCGGACTTCCCTGTCCTTGACGCTCTTTATAAATGCCTCCTCCAAGACCTGGGTAAAATCTCAAATTTGTCTTCGCTAGATTTCAGTATTTCAAATTTTACTAACTCTAAAAAAAAGTCATTTCCAAAAAAACAAATTCACTAAACCATGAGGTGATTAAATAATTTCACTTAAACACAATGAGAAAGGGGTGAGCAGGGTCACATTCTCTGTCACCAGTGCAGAGTTATCAGGGCCAATTGCTTGAAAATGACAAATGGTTCTGAACTTTGAAAGAAGCTGAAAAAAATGAAAACAAACATTGAAGTGACAGTGCCTCTGAAAGGAACCACAGCTTATTGCTGGGATAATAAATTGGAACTTTCTGGAACAAAAATCTAACTGAAATCATACACACACAAAAAAAATGACCCGAAATCACAAGTATGTTAAAGGCCACAGCTGGTGGGAAAGCTCAAGCGATTGATTTGCTGACTTCTTTGCCAGGACCCATTTCACGGGGCGCAGATCCCTGCAGAATGTAAAATTCTACAGAAACAAATCTGTCTTTGCCCAGAGAAGCAGTCATGGGAACTGTTACTCACATTTGCCTTTCAAAACACCTGGTGGAGTAAGCCTCCTGAAAGGCTGAGTTCTGGTCACTGGCCTCCGTTAGCGTCCAGACGGATTACGCTCAGATTTGCACTTCTTATTCTAATGCACGCAGAGCTAAAAGCTGCAGCTCTCGGGGAGGGAAAAGAAACATCTTCGGGATCACCCTGCAACCTAACAAGCACTTTCCAACTTTAAAAAGCATCAGAGAATTAAGTGGCTCCATGGTGACAGAGCCAAGAATGATCCTCATCCTATGACTCTTCCCAACCCATATTAACCAGTCTCTCCCATTCTCCAAAGATCCGATTTAACCAGAGATGCTTTTAAAAAAACGCAGATTCCTGAACCCCGTAGAGGAGAACGGGACTCACCAGATACGAGCATGACCCAGGATTCTGCATTTTAACAGCCACCCCAGGCGATGCCTTTCGTGACAGCCCAGCAACGCTGCAGATCACCACTCCACCTTCTCTGTTGATTAATTTTGTGTAGTTAAGAAAGTGACTTTGTCTCTTAGGCCCCCAACTTTCCAGCCTTTGAATCGGGCACCAGGAAAATGACCTACTCTTTGGTGCTAGTTGCCAAAAACCTCTTCAGTGCAAAGTCTTAATTTAAAAGCTGGAGACCCAACATTCCAGCTGATAGAGAGAATGGAGAATGAACATCGATGTCGCTCCAGGGTTTGGAGGGGCCTGTGTGCAGGAGCTGTAGGGCTTGTAGAGAAACCCATTCCAGCGCCCTCCCTCATCCGGCAGGGGTCAAGCCAAGTTCTTACGGTCCCTCCCAACCTCGGTTCTCCAGCTGTGGTAGGGCTATAATGCATACCTACCTTGTGAGGTCCTTCAACGTTTGAACATATGGTGCGTAAAGGCCTATGAGTGTAATATGTGTGAAACTGGAGTTAATACGGTAGCTGCTGGTGACAGAAGCAAGATCAGTAGTAACAGGAGTCGTCCTTAATTTAGATTTCTTAACCCGGCTTGGGTCATTCTGGAAACCAGACTGGGAGATGTGGAGCGCTCCCAGAAGGAGCGCTCGCTGTAACCCAGTTATCAGTGAGTTCGAGTGCGCCCAGCCGGGAGACACTGTCGGGGAAACCCTGGAGAGGCTTCCCCAATCAATACGCTAACATTTGCTTTGTCCTCGAGCCACACGCCCTTGTTGACACAGTGGCCATTAGAGAGGACAGCGATGCGCTGGCAGAGGTAATGGGCTGGAAGGGGGCAGCGGCACGCTGGACTTGGCGCTTGTGGAGGCAGTGCCCCCATCAACTGCGGGTTGTCGCAAGAACTCTGGGTGAAGATTGGGCTGAGGTCAGGTGCGTGGCCACTCTGGGACCCACCCTCAGAAACAGCGTGGGCTTCCCGGCTCCGTAAGGAAGCTGCTCTCAGGGTCTCAAAAGCATCCCGTCCACAGGAAGGGCCGCCAGCAGCAGAATTTTATTGTCCGATTCACGCTGCGTGATTGGGAAATCCAGTATCTTTTCCTGTGGGCGGGAGGGGAAGCCACACAAAACCCGATGATTAAGCTGATCAATCACAACTGAACTTGAGTAAAGTTCTGCCCCTGAAATTCTAACGTGCAGCTGTTGCTTCTCCTTTTCTGAAAGTGACCGAAACACAAACTAAAACGTGGGCTGACCTGCCTTTCTGCAGGTCCTGACTGCCTTTTAGGTGGCCATAATTCACTCGTGTCCTTGACTTTGTGTCTAGATGGAGGAGACCCACAGAGGTCTGTGTGCCTTGCAGCTTGCCCACACAGAGGGATACTGCGCTGGGACCCCTGTTGCAGACCTGGGCACATGAAGACCCCCAAACGATGGTGGAAAAAGTCATGCTGCAGAAGCACACACACAGTAGCCATGCCCGTCCGTGAGGAGAAGGACGTGTACCCGCTCCCACTGGTGTCGGGAGGGGTGCGTGCAGAAAGACAGACACCCACCACCCTGCGGCGAGGTCCTCCTCTGTGGCTGCATTATGAGGAAAACCCTATTTCTGGAAAGGGGGTGGTGGGTATGTTTAACTTCTTCCTTTATGACTATCTGCACTCTCCAAGTTTTCTTCACCCAATGCAAGTTTTGTATCATTTTAAAAGTGTAAAAAAATGGAGAGAGGGGCAGCCACACTCGGGTGCTACAGCCTACTCTGTAATGGTTTCTAACAACCAGAGAGCATGGGGGGGGGTGCTCATAAAGTCTGGGGCACCCAGCCCGTGGCATAGGAACCAGCACTGAGAGTTCATCCTGAAGAGTCTCTAACACACGGGAAGCGGAGGCTGTTGACCTCTGGTCCATTCCCGTCATGGCCCGGGTTCCCGCAGGTGCCCTGGGCCCCGGTGAGCAGAGACTGCTGCTCCCACACACAGGTCTCGGGCAGGCGTGTCCTGGGAGCCCAGCAGACACCAGCTGCTCCCTCCTGTGCAGGATCCTGTGAGCCTCTGCGCTTTGAAATGAACCCCTTTCTGCTTAAATATCGAAATCAATGTAGGTAACAATACATTACCATATTTCTTCTTCCTAGAAAAGTAAGGTGCAAAACTCTACCCACGGCATTATGACAGTGCTGTTGAAAAAGAAGAAAAACCGGCATGCACCCAAAAGGACTAAATGAATGTCACCAAAGCATGGAGGACGCTCCTTTTTTGTGTTTCTGTACTTTTCACCACCTCTCTAGTGTATGTGTTCTTGATAACTTTTAAAAGCTTAACTTTTCGTAAGAAAAAGCAACTGTCACTGGAGTCTCCACAGAAATGTAAAGAGACCCTGCCCGATGTGGCTGCATTGGTTGGAGTATCATTTGTAACCAAAGGGTGGCGGTTCAATTTCCAGCCAGGGCACATGCCGAAGTCGCAGGTTCGATCCCTGGTTCGAGTGCATGCGGGGGGCAACTGAGTGGCAACTTCTTGCACATCAGTGCAGGAAGACAATCTCCTTTCCTCTCTTCCTCTCCCTCTCTCTAAAAGCAATGAAATAGTGTCCTCAGGTGAGGATTTAAAAACAAGAGGATTCTGTGGGCCCCTCCCATCCACCTGCGTGTCTCTACGTGGTCACATGCTGGCCTGGGGGCCTCTCCTCTGCTCTTCTTTCTTCCACTGCCTCTTTGCTTTTTTTCTCCACTTCATATTTAGAAACACATCTTGTTTTCCAGATCGCTTCCTTCCTTCAAATCCTCCATCTGAGACTAAGTAATAATAAATCATAATAATGATGGTTGTCATGGTAACGATCACACTATAATCATACAAGTGGAGATCTTTGGTCCACGTGGAGAAACTAGCTGGTTTATTTTGCATCCTGCACCCCTGAGTGAAGTAAACGCTTGTCCTTCTCCATCTGGAGCTGTCAAGTGGTGAGACAATCAACAGGACGGAGTAAAGGCAGCACCCAGGAAAGCATCTTTATTCAGAAGATGCACCGGGAGGGTTGCGAGGGCTGCCCCGGCCGCTACAGCTTGCATCCATCCAGCCACCGCGCCAGAGTGTCCGAGTTCTGGCAGTTCAGCGTCCAGGAGGGCCTGCAGCAAGCAAAGCCAAGGAGTCAGAGCTCAGGATCTGCAGGGATCCACAGCCCCCGCTGGCCTCTTTACAGCCCGGCCCGGCCCCCGAGGTGCTTGAGTGTGCCACCCCTGCCGTGAGCATGCTTCTCCAGGCTCTTGTGCACCTCGAGTATGTCTCTTGCTGCATCCGCCACATTCTGACATGAATGCTGGTGTTCCCTACATCCTCACGCTCACCCCTACCCTCACCCCCAATGAACGCACCTCTTTCCACAAATCCCACCCTGGGAGATGGGGAGGCAGGACTGTGAACTGCAAAATTCTCCCCAACCCTGCAAGGTCAGTATTGTGACCTTCCCTGAAGTTGAGCGTCAAAGTTCTGGGGCTGGCCCAGGGTCATATGGTGAGCACTTGGAGGTCCCTAGGTCTGAAATGGGAATCCCCGGGCCCTAGGCCAGGGCCTCGTTCACCTCTCCATGCAGCTGCTGCACCCACCACCTTCCGAATCTCCTTGCAACTCCTCAACCTGCCCAGGTCAGCTGAACTAAGCTTCTCTAACCTCACTCTGGTGCCCTCAAAGTGATCCCCATTTTCCCAGGCCCTGTGCAAGCACCCAGAACCCAGGTCCTCTCGTCCCAGCCTAGAAGCTGTGGGAGGAACCAGGCCAGCTGCAGGCCTTTGGAAGTCTGTTTAGTGAGTCCCGTCCCTTAGCCTGGCAGAATTCCATGACCCTTCCAGGGTCACAGGTCCCACAGTCAAAGAGGGGCTCTGGCCCCTGGTCCCTCACAGATATGGAGCAGCAGGAAAGCATGCAGATACACACATGTCATATTTTCAGGAACCACAAGGCTGTCCGTGGCCCGACAGGTGCTGCAGGGGACCCTTGTGGCATGCAGGGTCTGGTCTCCCCCCTTCGCATTGGCCCAGCTCTGCATAGCCGCCAACCTGAGCTTTGGGAAGCATGTGGCTGCTTATTAGCTTAGTACGAGCTCACTTCACTGGGAATTCTGAGCAAGTAAGAGGCCTCCATCAGCCTGGCCCAGCACCTCTGTACTTAGTGCTGTACAATCAAGACGGTTTCAGCTCATTAGTGCTTACCCCAGAGAGTGGGCCAAGCTTCCAAAGTCATTGGCAAGTCAAGACTATGCGTGAAAGATATGGTAAACATGCAGAAGATAGGTAACATTAATGAAGGGACTTCCACTTTAAAACACCGTCTATTAAATCAGCGAGGAAAACGGGTTAATGGGCAAGCAGTGTTGAGAACACAGACTAGCCATTTGAAACACATAAAGCTGATCTCTACCTTACTTCATATACCAAAAATAAATTACAAGGCCAACAATTTCACAGTAAAACCATCAAACCATGGAAATTCTATTTTGTAATTGAATAACAAAAACTTAATGTAAGATTTATTGTGTGCCAGGCACTGTCTTAATACAGAGGGAAACAAAGCTTCATTTCTTTATCATCTTAGAGTATGAAAAACCTTTCTAACAAGATTTCATAAAAACTCAGAAGCTACACAAAACAAAGATTGCGGGATTTGGTTTTGTGAAAATGTGAAACTCCTAAATGATGAAAATACCATAAACAAAGTCAAAAGACATATAACAAACCTGAAAAAGTAGTTTACATAGATATGATGGACAAAGGTATAATAACCCTAGTTTATAAAGAACATGCACAAAATCAATAAAAACAAGAGAAAACACTATTATCCCGATAGAAAAATGAGCTAAGAATATGAATCCACACTTCACAGGAAAATTGCTAATAAAGACTGAAAAGATGCCCAACTTATTTTGTAATTTGAAGATACAAAGCAAAACAGAATGATATTTGACAAGTCACAGTCTCCAAAATCCACCCAAATTTTAACGCTCGGGGCTAATGAGCTAGAAGAACACAGACCCCTCCCACAGTGGAGCTGGAGGTACCCCACCTCTGAACGCCAATTTAACAATCTGTCTCCAACTTTTCAATGCATCAAATGGTTCCAACAAATCTACAATGGTTTCCCTAAGAATATGAGGGGAGGCCCCCCAAAACAGAATGTATTTATTAAAAATTTTGTATTTATTCTTACATGTTTAAATTGCAGTCACCTTCAAAGTACTTTTCATTTGATGCAATGCACCTATTGATACTTTTTTCCACTGCTCTAAACAGTTTTTGAATTTGTAGATTTTGATGCCTTCAACTCCTTTTGCCATCTTTTATTTCATCTATTCCACACTGGCAAAATGTTTCCCTTTGAGGACTTTTTTTTCATTGGGGGAAACAAAGAAAAGTTGCTTGGGGAGAGATCAGGTGACTAGGGAGGCTGGGGCATGGGGGTCGTGCCATTTTTGGTCAAAAGCTGCTGAACACTCAGCACACTGTGGGCATAAATCACCCATCATGAAATGGGCAAACTCGTTGAAAATCTTCCCCCCAAAATTCGCTGAAGTTGAATGAATTCAGCCTGCCACAACAATGCCAGTTGGTACACTGATACGAATGGGTTCCTAGAACACTCACCTAGCGGGGGAAGCTTGTACTACAAGGGACCTGCTCCTGAAAGATAATTCCGATGTATTTGGGTTCCCACCACTACACTTGGAAGAACATAAAAATTCTAAGAGCACGATGCTCACGTGGACTTGTTTGAAGCAGCGGCAGGAAGAAAAATGGAAACAACCTAAATGTTCATCAGCAGGGGCCCTGCAGCATCCACACAGCAGGGTACCACGCCACTGTCACAGGGATGGCACAGACTGCTCGGTGGAGGTTCGCCAGGATGTGCACGCTCTATTAATACGTGAGGGAAAAAAAGTTGGGTGCACCTCAGTGTGCCCATTGGGACTCCGTGTATATTTTTAAAATATCTGTGCATACATTTGTCTCTGGTTTATGAGACGTGGTAACAGTGGTAAGCTTCAGGAGGCTGCTGATAAGTTTTTTTGTTTTTAAATATGCATGTGTCATTTTATTTTTAGCAAGAATGAATTTTAAAAGTTTTAAGAACTCTCTAAAATGCCTTCTGGATAATGGCTCCAAATGCAGCCTTGGTCTTTCAAGAAGCATTTAGGGGTCACCTGTTATGTGCCAAGTGTAGGGCTAGAGTCTGGAGATACAGAGACAAGGTAAAGACAAAAATCTCTGTCTGAACTTGGCTCCAGACAGAAAAGACCAAAAAAGCTAAAACAAAAGCCCTGACCTCTGAGGTGGGCACATCTCGTGTTGCCAGATTCTGGAGGAGGTCTCTGAAGCCTACCGGACCTATGGGTTATGGTAAGGAAGACCACTCAGGCTTCACTAGAGGCAGGAGTCTGCCTGTCCATCTGCTCCTCCTCCCCTGGCTGACCCTGCTCAGAAACCCATGTCTGTCCCCATGGGAGAACTGGACAGCATCCTGAGGTGGCCTTCTCCATGACCAGAGCACCAATCCTCTATGTAAACCATGCCCATCTCTTTGAAAGCTGAAGTTTGGAAAAGTGCAGACCCAGAATCAATTCCAGCACTGTGGAAATGAGAGAGACAGAGAGAAAGAGAAAGAGAAGAGAGAAACATCAACCAGTTGCTTCCCATATGTGCCCCAGCCAGGGATCAAACCCACGACCTAGGTATGTGCTCTGACCAGGAATAGAACCTGCCACCCTTTGGTGCACAGCATGATAGTCCAACCAACTGAGCCACCGGCCAGGGCAGTTTCCTCATTTTAACAATGGGGCTAACTCACTGCAGAGGTATCTGTGAAGATTAAATGGTGGTTTTTATGTGATTGCACAAAGCCTACACATGAAAGCAGCCAAAAATTGTAGCTATCATGAAAGGATTTCCTCTATTGTAGGATGTCTTCTATTGCAAGATGCAGCAATGATTTATTAATGACTTTGGGAAATGACACATCAATTGCAAGACAAACCCTAATTGCCACTATATTAAGCTGTAAAATCTGGAACTATGACATTGTCTCTAGCTCTCCCTGCAGACAATGCCCAGAATCAACCAGGAAGTCCATGATGAGATGCTGGCTAGAGGGGAAGGCAGCAAAGGCAGGGGAAGGTGGAAATTGGCGGTGGCGCAGTGTCTACTGGACAATGCAGACCCACCACGGAGGTGATAGCAGTGTATCCTGAGAATAGAGAGTTTTAATATACTCCAGATGTGCATGTGCACCAAAATCGCCAAATTGGAAACTGGGCCAAGAGATGTGCACACCAATCTATGCTGACATGGACATCTAAGAAGAGGGTCTGACCCAAGTAACAGTGAGTGAAGACAAAAGAAGTCGTATGACCCATCTATTTTGCAAGCACTGAACATGAGTAAATCTGTCCTTATTCAAGTAAGGAGAAAACTAACATGGGACCTATGGGAAAACATTACAAGAAGAAAGAGGGGAATTACAATGAAATTCAGAGAAACATTCTTCTGAAGACAGCATATGCAGGATCCAGAAGTAAATTTGTTAAAACTGATATTCTCAATAAGATGCAGCCAGACATGATTTCTGGAAAAAGCCCATGGGAGAAAAGACATAAAAAAGACAACAGTTTGAATTTTAAAAAGAAGAAGGATGGACCACCACAGAATTGCTAAGAAACTAAAAATATAATAACCAAATATTCAATACCTACTTATGATTTTAAAAACTTAACAATCTGAAAATGAAAAAAAAACCACTTTTAATCTGATTAATAGTATCTCAGAAAACACCTCACTCAATGATAAAATGTTGAACTTCTTACTGCAAGATTGGGAATGCAACAAGAATGCCATTACTACAACTTCTATTCAACATTTATTAGAGATCCTATCCAATGCAACAAGGTAGGAAAAAGAAAGAAAAGTATTGTAGAGCCAAATGTGAAAGGTAAAACAATGAAGCTTTTAGGAATAGGCAAAGATTACTTTAAAATAAACAAAAATAACCATAAAGAGAAAGCAATGATAAATTAGACTACATTAAGACTAAGAGCTTGTGTTTATCAAGACTCCATTAGAAGGTAAAAAGGTAACCCACAGAATAAGAGAAGGTATTTGCCATACTTGTATCCAACAAAAACTCTTATCCAGAATATATAAGTAACTCCTAACAAATTAACAAAAGACAGATAGTACAACAGAAAACACCCTAATGGGATATCATAAAATGCAAAAGAAGATCAAATTGTTATTCGCCTTTCAAATGGCTGAGGTTTGTAGAGTGTAGTAAATAAGCATTTTACTGAACTATAAATGTTAGTGTAAATTGGTACAAGCTTGCTAGAGAGTCATTTCACAATGCATCAAGGATCTTTGAAAGTATTCAAAAACCCTTCTGGGAATATATATGTAAGAAATAATTGGATATACACAGAGATTTATTTCAAGGATACTCATCCTAGCATCCTGTATCACCCTACACAAGACATAAAGGAGGGGGGAAATGTTCAACATAAGGTAGTTTCACTGATAACTATTTTCTTCCTTCTGTGGTCTTGGGGTTGCAGAACTCAATGGCATTGTTCTGCTTAACTCGATGAGTAGGATCCCACAGATGTGCCACCAAACTTAACCCAAGATCAAGATGAAATGGGTGGAAGTCATTAACACAGAATATTTAAAGATATACCACTTACCATGCTCCCATTCCATCTTTTCCTTTTACAATTTTCTTGGCACATTCGATTGTTTTGTTTAAATTATTTGGATTCAGTAAAGCTGTGGAGAAAATAAAGGGGAATAATACCAAACCGCCACTGGGCCGCTAAGTCCAAGCATGTCGGGAAGGCACAAGGTGCTCACACTAGAGAGGCTTCCGTGTGACTCCAGGAATAAATCGATCCCTAGATTTTTCTCAGACAACATTGGGAGGTAGCAGGAGGAGGTCCTCTTATGCTAAATCAGTTGACTTTTTATTGTAATTCTTATAATACTTTCATTAAAAATATACGTGTACAGTGGAGATTCTGTGCTAGGCAACATAAGGAGTAGTGGAGCTAGAGAGACCAACATGAAAAAGTCCTTCTTTCTGAAGGTGGGTAAATATTACAGTGAATTATAATGCAAAGAATGCCTGGAGTGGTGGGGGGTGCAACTTGATGTGGGAGTGTTGAGTGAAAGCACCTAATTTAAGACTTGAAGGATCAGGGAAAAGGATTATCGGGCCAAGCAACATCTAAAGGAGTAGGTAAGGAAGTGGGGAGCTCAGGGAGGCACGGAAGGAAAACTCTTCCTGGCAGAAGGAGGGGCAGAGGAGAGGGCCTTGAGGAACCAGCATGGCTGTGTGTGCATCCTTCCATCCCCTCCTTGGACTGTGCAAACCAAGACCTCCCACCTGGGGCAACAGCACTACCCGCCTTCTTACCTGCACTACAGCCTCCCCCGCTCCTAGTCTGATCTGACTGCTTTTCTTTACACTATTACCTCTGTGCCCCCTAGCTGCCTGTAAAACAGAACTCCAGATCCTTGGCTTAGCCCAATTGTGCCCCATGTGACTTTCCAATTCTCCAACCTTACCTCCTGTTGCTCTTCTCCAAGACCCCACCACTCAAGACATGGCAAAGGGCAAGAGTCAAAGATAGTGCCCTCCCCCAGGGTGGGTGCCCCCCTCTGACACTCACAGTTTGGAGGACTTATGCATTTCCTCTGGCACTTAGTGGGCACTCAGTCAATTCTCATAGGATGAGTCAGTCTTGGGGAACCACCTCTTCTTTACCACAGGTACTTGGAAGCTCCCTCGTAGGGCCCCCTCCTGTCTCCTCCCAGGAACCACTCTGCCTGTTAAAGTGGCAGCTTCTGCTCCCTTGAACAGGAGTGTGGTGCCAAGTGTGGGTAACACCGGGCCCAGCCAGAGCCCTCAATACTCTCCCTTGGGACTCAGTGAGCTCTAATGGTCCCTCTCTGCTTCTTCTCAACATGGTGACACCTTCTCTGCCCACCTTCTCTGGGTGTCCACCACTCCATGCCAGGCCACCTGCTGTGCCTGGCTCATAGCCACCCTTGTGGCTTGTGAACCTGGCATCGCAGCACTGCCTCTGGGGGCCCCACCTTGGATTTGGCCCTGCCCCTCCCTGCTCCAAACTTGTCAGCTCTGGCCATCGGGAAGGCAGACCTCTTGAGTGCAATGACATGGCCCTCGTGGAATTGAAGGAGGGGACCTACCTGAGCAGGACACGTGGCAGAGGTTCCTCCCCTTGTCACACCAGTCAGGGTTGCGAATCTGGAAGAGGCCAAAGCCCGTGTAGGACTCACGCAAGTTCTCGTAGACAGCCACGGGATTGAACTTGCTCTCAAAGTAAGCCAGGCACACCCCTAAGATGGAACAAGAGGAGCGTATGGTTCAGGGGGACGCAGGAGTGGGGGTGCCTGGGCAAGGGGCAGGGAGTGGGGGTGAGGAGGGGGCACTGAGAGGGGCCTACTCACAGTTTTCAAGGCTGTAGCCCTCGAAATCACTCAGGCCTCCCTCGTGGAGCCGCTGGGCCACCACGCAGCGTCCCAAGACCTCAGCACCACTGGGGACCACCAGGCAGCTGATGAGGGAGAGCAATGCCGATGCCTCCATCTCCTCCAGGCCCGACGGCCAGGTGAACGGGCGGAGTCACGGATGACGTCTACCAAGGTCCCACGGTCACTGGTTCCTCTGAAGGAAATGACGGCTACTGTGGGGGTGGGGCGCACCGCTCAGCGTGTTCAGAAAACGGCTTAACCATGACCTATTAGTTCTCCGCGGCCAGTGATTGCCAACTGGGATAGCTGGGCCCCCCTCCTCTTTTTAAGCTCTTATTTTCTAAGGGAACTGCTCTTTTGAAGGTCTCTCTCTCTCTCTCTCTCTCTGCTGCCCACACACATACATCCTTTCCCTTCAGCAAAACCCAATGGCTTCCTCTTAGTTTGTTCTCACTCATTTCTCTTTCCCATTGGTTACTGATGCTGAAATCCTTTCTTTCCCTTTATTGTGGAAGTAGAACTGGCTCATGAAATGCATTTGGGGAAGCAGAAGAATGATGAAGTACATCCCTCACGGTCCCAGCCCTGGAGCACAAGCCCGGCCGTTGTACCGAATGACCCTCCTCCTGGAAGCTAGTCTGCGTTGGGGTCTCCGCCCATACAGTCTAGTCACCAGGTCACACTCTGCCGAGCGTCTGTTGCTGTCCACACAAGGAGACAATCCCAGGTCTAGCCAGACCTGCCACTCATGAGCTGGGTCATCATCAGCCACAGCAGAGGTGTCACTTAGCCCCACAGTGTCCCAGCCTTCTCATCTATAGGAGGGGTCAGCGGGGTGGGGTGCAAGTTCTGGGTGCTCAGAGAATTAACTCTCGAGTTCGTCCTCCGTTTCTGCTGTCCGCACCTCATCACTACAGGGCAGGTGACGCCCAGCCTCCTGGGCTCCACCTCTGCAGGCTGACTCCTCCCAGTCGTGCTTTCTACTGAGTGAGGAGTGTCCCCAAAGCATGTAGGAAACGTCCCTTTGAGAATGCTGCTAGCTCCCTCGTCCTCACCATGGCAAATCCACCCTTGGCTTTCTACGCCCTCCACCATCTGGCCTTTTGCTGGTCTCCTCCATCAGGAGGAACCAAATCCATCAATGCCCAGGTGGCCTCTCTGGGCCTCTCTGCCCCTCCCCACACCGCTCCCTCCACACCTGAGCTCCTGCTCCTTCTTACTGCGGTGTCTTCACTCATGGTTCTGCCCAAGCACAGGGCCCTACTGGCCACCCCCCCCCCACCGATGTTGTTCCATTTTGAGATCTCCACCCCAGATGTCCCCTCCTTGAAGCCCAATGCAACCCTTCAAGAACATTCCCTCTCTGTAGCCCTTGTTGCCCTCAGAATCACTTCTATAATAGCTAGCCAGTGACTGTCCTATTCTGTGCTATGTCCCGTCCCTCGGGCTGGAGTGTGCAATTGGAAATTACAATGTATCTCCGTCTTGGCATGCCCTTACAGCCCTAATGATGCATAAGGATAATCAATTGAGCAATTAATTGTGTCCTCCTGTTTGTCATCCTCTAACCTATATTCACCTACACCAGGGATTCGCAACCTTGACACTTGGGCTGGAAAATTCTTTTTTGGGGGGGGCTTTCCTGTGAATTGGAGATTGTTTAGGAGCACACCTGGCCTCTAGCCACCAGGTGTTCCACCCCCTCAGCTGTGACTGCCAAAAAATGAATCCAGATATTGCCAAGTATCTCCTGAGGGACAAAAACTGCCCCTCTGTTGAGAACCAATGACTTAAATGTCTAACTTGGGCAAAAGTTAGAAATCAATTAGCATATTCATAAATTAGAAGAATTGCACTTTTAGGCATTTGTTTCAACTCTCAATTTGCGTGATTAATTACAGACGTGGCCAGGGCACCAAATACACATTGAGAAAGGCCTCGTATGTAAGTGCTCCGAGCTGGACCTCAGGTTGCCTGAGTCCAAATCCCAGCTTTGCCCCTCAGTAGCTGGGACCTTCCCCAGCTGACAATTCATCAGGAGCCTTGTCCCCCATTATTCCAAAACCTACCCACCTCTCACCATCTCCACACCGTCCTAGTCCAGGTCATCACCGCCTCTGACTTCCATCCAGGTTTCCCAACTGTTCCTAACTGACCCCCTTTATACCATACGCCACTCTTGCTCCCCTCTCCCCGTTCTCCACACAGCACTAGAAAGACCTTCTTAAAAACGTGTATTTCGTCATATTGCTCACCTCCAATAGACTCCCCTTGTACTTGAAGTAAGAGCCCAACTCCTCGACATGACCAATTTCACATTTCTCCCCCCCTTGTTCACCCTCACACCACCACGTCCACCTTGCCCGTTTTTCTCTGGACGTCCCATCAAATTCCCAGCATGGGTCATTTGCACGTGCTGTTTCCTTTGCCTGGAACATGATTTCCCCCAACCACCACGGAGCTTGCTCTTTCTAGACGTGCTCTCAGCTCAGATGAGCTCCCACCTCAAATAGGGTACCCGATCACTGCCCATCACAGACAACAGTTCTTGTTTTCTTCATAATAGAAGTGTAAGCTCCAGGGATGCTTATGGAAATCTGGTCTGTTTCGTTCCCCACTTTATCCCTAGAACTTAGAACAGAGCATGGTGCACGGAAAATATTCAGCAAGTCTCTCTGGAATGACTGAATGAACGAAGACCTACTCCTGTCAACAGAACTGTCGTCATGTAAGGGTACAGCTGAAAGGGGAGCCCCGAACAGGGATTTGTACTGGGGTCCACAAGAGCCTGGAGATGATTGGCTGCACACCACAGGGCCATACCTGCCCGGAGGCTGGTAGCTGTGGCCAATTGTGGGAGGAGCAGGAAATGAGGCTGCAGAGGAAGATTGGTGCCGGATTTAAACCCAGGCATGGCAGCCATTTGGCGTCTTTTGGGGACCACGTGGCTTGGGGGTCTTGTTGGGACCATGCAGCGTGGGTTAGAGTCAGGACCACACGGCCTTGGACGTGCTATTTTTTGTCACATGTTTGTTTCTGGGAGCCTGAATCATAAACTTCTACTTCTTTCCTGAGATACAGTCCCCCAGACTGGGCAGAGGGAGAAGGAAGGACTGTGTGCATTTGTGGGTATTCTAAAGAACTTTAGTCTGTGTAACTTTTAAATAAATAATAATTCCTTTCCTCTTCACAGATCTCTGGCTTTGAGAGACATCTTTCCTCTGGCAGCAGGCAAAGTGAACCTAGTATGGGGAATGAACCCACAAAGAAAAAGGGGGGTGTCTTTTATACCGTTCAACTCCCCACCCCGGTCTGTTCTGTAACAGTCAGATGAGCAGAAAGAGAATCTGCTGATGAGTGTCACCTGCAGCATCCTGGTTCCTGCCCACCATGCGCCTGCTTACCAGTCCACCAGTCTTTCTGCGGGTCCTGGGGTCTTCTTTCGGGGAGGGAAGGAACAGCCGCTGGGGCAGCTCCGGGCCCCGTTAAGGGAGGTTGCTCTCCCCCCAACTCAGTTCTCTGGATTTTTCAGAACCATTTACCTTCTCCCAAGAGTTTCTAAGCCATAAGTCCTTCTCTATGGCTGGCTCTTCCAGAATCTTTTCTATGACATCAACTGCCAGGCACCAGAACATTCTGAAGCAGGGAGTGGCCTGTCTCCATAGTGTTTGTATTTGTCTTCTATTGCGGCTGCAACCTGCGACCTGCAACTCAGCAGCTTAAACAACACAAATGTATTGTCTTCGAGTTCTCTCGATCTGAAGTCCGCCCAGAGTTGCATGGGCTAAAGTCAGGGTGTTGGCAGGGCCATGCTCCTTCCTGGGGGCTCTCCAAGAAGACCTGTTCCCTTGGTCACTAGCACTGTTGGCAGAACAAAGTTCCTCGTAGCTATAGGACCTGGCCCCATTTCCTTGCTGCCTAGCTGGTGAGGGTCCTCTCCACTGTAGGGCCACCCACATTTCTTGGCTGTACGTCCCTTCCTCTAGGTTCCAACCCAGCAAAAATGAGTCAAAATCCTCTCAGTTTGACTCTCCCCTGCTTCTTCCATTGCTGTCTCTCTCTGACTCACCTTTGGTCTCTTCTCCCACTTTTAAGGACTCATGAGATAAGATTGGCTCACCCTGGCAAGCCAGGATGATCTCCCCATCTCAAGGTCTGTCCCTGACCTTAATCTCATCTGCCAAGTCCCTTTGCCATGTCAATAACATATTCTGAGGTCCCAGGGGTATGGCATGGACATCCCTGTGGGGGCATTATTCTGCTACCACAGCATTCTTCTGGGTCCCCCACAGAACGGCCTTCTACTGTGGAACAGTAGGAGAAGCCCCCATTTTTCTCCTCTACTGACAGTGGGAACATGGTCAAAGACATTTGCTCTTGGAGCCTAGGCAACCTCATCTGTGACCTGAGGGCATCAGAATGAATTATCTTTAAGATCCTTTCGAGCTCCGAAAAGTTAAGAGATGTTGAGATGAATCAGGATAATGTTGGCCTTTTGAAAACACACAAGTCCTTCTGGCTGACTCAGTTATGACTGGTAATTAGCTGATTGATAGAAAGCAATAAAGTGGAGGGGGAAAAATGTCAGGCCATAAAAACAAACTTAAACCCATAAATGCCCATTTGCACAACAATCGTTAGAGATGGCCTTTTCTCAGCAATGAGTTACTGACTGAAGCACGAAGTTTTTTTTAGGTCAGTGAGGCAGCTCTCTACATACTAATATGGAAAGAAATGTATGAAATTGTGATAAATTAGAAGAATGAGGCTCAAATCAGTATCCCAGTATGCTAACATTTTGCAAAACAGTAATAGGCATATTCGCTTGTTATGTCCTTGGAGAAATGGGCAAGACATTTTTGGCAATGCTTGACTATTATTTCAAAACAAGAAAGTAAATTACTTATTCAAATAATGAAACAAAATATTTTAAAAAATTTTAGTGGCAAAAGGAAAGTAGACTTCGAATAATCATTCTCATCCTTGTAGTTTTACTACACACATCTCGTCAAACAGTTTGGCAGCATGAATCTAATTAGAACTTCCAAAAACTAATTCATGTTAAAAATTAAGAAGAAGGGCTTAGACCTGTGCAAATAACCCAACAGTTGGCCT